ACACACACACACACACACACACACACACACACACACACACACACACACGAATGCACGAGTGCTTGTGCTCACCAGCAGCCTTCTGGGTAAAAAATACTAGCTCTACCACACTTAGGCACAGACATGGTTTGTCATGGACTTCCTGGCCCTGACAGCTGAAAACTTGAGCTTAAGAAGGCTGAGTAATTTGGTCACATTTGCACAGGTAGTGAAGGGCAAGTCTGGGACAAGGATGTGAGTCAGTGAATCACTGCCCCTGCTTATCAGTTGTCTGGGCATGTAAGATTCCCAAGCTTCTCTGACAACTGAACTTTGGGAAACAAAGTAACCTTACTTGCTGGCTCCCTTCCTCCCTCCCTCCCTCCATCTCTCCCTGCACCCTCTCCTTTGCCACATTTACTTACATTTTCTGAAACCTCTCCTTTGCCTCCTTCTCTCTTCATCTGTGAGAGGCTTTGGGGCAGCAGACACACAGACTGGAGAATTCAAGGCAGAAATCCAAACTTTTTTTTAACCTTCCTTTTTGATGACCTGTAAGATTAACATATTTATATTCCTTCCTCTGGAGTGACTGGATTTCTTCAAAGACAGCACTACAGAGGGTCCAGGTGGCCAGGCTCATGGTCATCTAAGCCACTTTGATGCGAGTGTACGTATCTCTTGCAAGTAATGATTTATTCTTAACATGGCCACTTTCAGCTAGGCCAGTTTCTCTGACCTTAGAGGTCAAAGAAACTAAGGAAGGTTTTAAAAGCTGTTACCAATTTTTCCAATCTGTGTCGTTTTTCTTGATCTCTTTACTATGAAACCCTGGAATGTGTATAGGATCAGGTGGAGCTGGTAGCAAAGTAATGATAGCCAGAAGCAGAAGCTTTTTTTTTTTTAACTATAGAGCCGAAGTATATAACTTATAAAGTATTTATCACAACATAATTTAAACTTATTGATCCTAAGTATTGGTTGTTAGATTTCTCTGCCCTTGTTTATTATGAAGACTTTAAAACACCTGATCGGGCCATTAGAAGAACAGCTGTTGAAAAGTTTTGTTTCTCATGGACCCACTATCGTAATAGATATTGATGGCATTTCGGTCTTGCTGGTGATTTATGATTGATGATACAGAACCTTTAAACCACACCAGTCCTTTTGACCTAAGGCACCAAAGTTTTCCTCATTCACTGTCTCCATGTTTTGTCTGACAAGTATGAAGTTAAGATTTTATAATATCCGTATGATCGGAGCTGTTGACTTTATTTCATCGAAACATTGCTGGGTTTTTAACAAAGAAGTAACATGTAGAAAAATGTTTTTCTATACGGAGAAAATGTTACCTAGAATCACTGCAATTAACATCCATGCAACTAAGACTCTGTCTGCACAGGCCAGTGCTGCAGAGCCTCAGGTCATTTGGGTTTCAAAGTGACTGAGAGCTAGGGCAGGTTAGGTAGGATTGCTGCTTAGTCCTTCTGCAGCACAGACATTTCCACAGGGCTTTAATAGTGATAATGAGCTATGTGGGAAAATAACCCAATATGGTTTTTGCCTTGCAATAAAATAATGAGCATTCTCTGAGACTTGGGCAGTGTCACTGCTTTGGGACTATTGAAGTATTTCAGTGACTTACCCATAAATATTCTATTAGTGTTGTCAAGTGGCTACACCTTTCATTTGGGCTCTGTGAAGTGAGTTTGTTGATTTTGGTTTGACTACTGTTGTTCTCTGCAGTGCTTAGTGTTTGGTGAAGCATATAGATAAAGCAAGCTTTATAATTATATCACATTCTCCCTTATCCTTAAGATAGAAAGCATGCTAAGAGTGTCCCTAATGCATCAGGGGACCTGAGCTTTTCTAATGATTCCATTGAGTAAAGAAGAGTTGGGTAACTCATAAAGAATAGAGTTGATTTAGCCCATGTGTCTGGAGTCTGGTACATCATCAGACATTGGCTAGGGTCTGCTCAGGGCTTCTTGCTACAACATAGAGGGTGGAGGACATCACACAGAGACAGAACAAGTGAGTTGAGGACTCTCTTTCTCCTCTCAGATAGCCGCTGGCAGCATCCTGGGAGCCAGGTCCTAATGACCCTGTCTAATCTGCATTGCTTTTCGAAGGTTCCTCCCCCATGTACTAGGGACATATGACACAGCTATCGATGTGAACAAACAGCAGTTGTTGGGTTATCATCGAAGCTGGCATGCTTTGTTGCAATTTTATTAATGAAAATAAGGATTCTAAATTGCTGACCATTTTTGCTAGTTATGAAAATCTCCCTTTCAGTCCTAGATATAGAGGGCAAGGAGATGAGGGTGAATAGGGCCAACTAAAACTAAGCATGAATGAAAATGGTATAAGGAAGCCTATGTATGGTGATAAAAAACTGGATTAATTTTTTGCCTTAAAATCATACATATTAAAGTGTTTTTAATAATAAAAAGTTCAAACATACATTTCAAAATAGATGTTCCAGTGATCAAATTTCTGAATGTAAAATTTCAACCAAGTTCTTCTGTGTTTTTCTGCAGTGTTACCAAGGTTACTGCATGTTCATGCGCTGTGTAGGTAGGATGCCATAGAGACACATGATACTGTAGCTTACAGTTTCATTAGCAAGCAAGTGTATTAATTAAGACTTGAAACATCCCCTTCAAAGACTATGATAATGACAGCATAGAGGGGGACATAGAACAGAAGATAACTCCTCTCATTATGCCAGACTGTTATCTATAAAGAGCACCTTCAAACTAATTCTGTAACCATTGACAATTAAAGAAAACACAAGGACAGGACCCAGACTGACAAAAGTTCGATAGAATCATTTTGCAAAAGCAAACTTGTTCCACTGCTGGTCTTTTGTTAATTGGTGTCTCCTGAGTGTATAAAGTATTATTTAATAAGCATGTTATCTCTTGTTCTGTTGAGTACCGATTTTTTTCAAAGTGTTATTAATTGGAAGTGCAGTGCCTGATAAAGTCATACTCAGAGAAATTGGTTTATTCATCTCAACCTTGTTATTAATTTTTGAAATAGAATACTCAGCATGGGCACTGTGGTACACACACACACACACACACACACATTGTATATATGAAACATTGGTTGTCTCTGATTGGGTAGAGCCACAAGACAGTAAAACATTCTCAGCTACTTCCCACCATTCTCCCACTCAAGTCAGAACGTCACAGGAAATCCTCCGGGGCAGGGGGGTGGACGGCAGCTCTAAGCTGACAAATATACTCCATAAAGCCCACTCCAGTCTTTTCTGCAGCACTTCTAGCTGCTCTCTAAGTTATTATTTCTTTTCCTCTTTAGCATGTCACACCTCATTCCTGTCCAGGTCTGTGTTGTGCACTGTGGCTGCAACAGTGACAGGATCATCACTGGCCACTCTTGTGGGGGTTTTCTCTGTATGTCATCTTTTCTTAATTACAAGATTATCATTACAATCAAAACACCGACGTGAATTATTTGTTTGTCTTTGCATATACAAAGCCAGAATTCCAAAGCAAAAGCCAAACCCATCACTGAGCTCCTGTAACCTTTTGGTTGTGCCCACAGGCCCCTCTGGCTATCAGAATCACTACCCAGATGGCAGGCCAAGGGCCTATGAAGACACTCATAGGAACTACGATGTCTACACAGCAGGACTGAGCGAGGAGGAACAGCTGGAAAGAGCATTAAGAGCTAGCCTCAGGGACCGAGGTAAGAGCCTTGCGCCCTTTGGTTATTTTAAAACCAGCCTCGTGGCAAGGCGGTCTGAAAAAGGATGATTTGGATCAAATTAAGCCTTGAATAGTTTATAAAGAAAACAAAAAAGGGTTTATAGGTGAAAAACCTGTGCAGATTGTGATCTCAAAGAATGGGATGTGATGCTGTTGTCCCACAGCCTAAGCTCCTAAGGTGCCAGACTGGATGCATTGTTAAGTGTTCTTTTTATAGACCTGCTATGCTTTGTGCTTTAACATTGAAGTCAAGAAACTTTAAAAAAAAAAAAAAAAAGGCTTAAAGTCTTAAGTACATGAGAAAGGTTAACTTTGGAATTCATAACTGTAAAGTGGCACTCTGTCACCATGTACCAAAGTCTTGGCCATGAACCTCCCTGGAATCAAATGGACTCAGGTTTGAGCCTGACTGACTCAATCTGTCCAGGAGTGGAGCCTGGGATTTTGTAAGTTTTAACATGTTTTCCGGAAGATTCTTTCACAGACTGATATCTGAGAATCAATATACCCATTTTGCTCTCTTTGCTCTGGGTTTGGCTTAGGAAGTTGATTATAGGTATCTTCATTATTGCTAGTGTAAGTTACTAAGGAGCAGCCATTTACTTAGTAGCATGTATACAGGTCTTCTGATACTTCACAGAGGGTACTGTACAGGTACGGCGTGAACACAGAGGTAGAAGATGGGACACCACCTCCTGCATGAGTAATTATAACATCAAGGATCTGCCATGAAAAGCTTCACGGTATCTTATGCTACATACTGCACTGCACAAGTAACCATAATCTCAAGTACCCAGGGGAGGCTCAGCGAGTGCTGGGGGTAAGAGGACTGCGGAGTGTGCTTAGATCTTCACAGAGGCAGAGGCAGTGGGGTGCCAGGATTTGCAGAGATGTCAAAGACATTCTTCAAAGGTGCTTTGAGTGCTGTTGCAAACAGAGAACCAAGGGGTATGATGGCACCAGCCCTTGCTTCTGAACTGAGCACTGAGAAGCTGAGCCGGGGCTGAAGTCCTGTGGTTCAACAGCCTCAGTGAAATAGAACTGTGATGATTGATTAGTCGTCAACCTAAGAAGATTTGAAATCTCCATGGGACCTCTGTTTGTCTATGAAGGTATTCCCAGGAAATGTTAAACATCCCATTTACTGTTCTCCTGGGCTAGATAAATGGAGAAAGCAGGTTCAACACCAGAATCCCTCTCTTGAGACAGGGTCTCGGGTAGCCCAGGCTGGCTCTGAGCTCCTGATTCTTCTCCATCAAAGGCATGCACCACCCACCGTTCCTGACCAGGATTCATCCAGTTGTCTAAAACACAGTTAGGAAAACAACTCGGAGAGGAGCACTGTGCTGGACAGCAAGAGAAATAAACTTAAAATCTTCTTCTATACCAATTTTAAGTATTTTTTAATGATTCATTATCTCATTTGTAAAACATTTCTGGGAAAGTAAAATCATTTTAGTTTTCCAAGTTTGTTGTTGCTTTTCCTGCCAGACACTAATAAGATCAGCCTGGTGAGAAGACTCTGGGATTATTTTGAAGCCAAGGGTTTTGTTTCTGCATCTGTGTAAACCAGTCACTTGGTTTAGGTAGATATGACCTACACTTTGAGTACAGGCACCGTTGTGGTGTGTCTCCCAATGTGAGGCTGACGCAGGCACTCTCCTGCCCAGCCACTCTCATCAACTCACCCCTGTTTCTCCTTTCCCCATTCACTAGTAAGTGTATCCTATGAATTTAAAGTTTTTTCCTTCTTTCCAGTCTCAGAAAATCACAATAGCACCTGGTATTTGACCTTGGTCCTTCAGAGGGTCTGTCTAGATCTGAGATCCCTGTGACCTTGTTTGACATGCTGTTTAACAGTGAACGCATTCCAGACCAGGATACCAGTGAAATACATTGTTAGAAGATTGCTCTTTGAAAATCAAGTTGCACAGGGCAAGTCCTCCAAGCCTGGAGGCACACCAATCCTGAGCCTGTGCATACCCCTAGACACTCCCCTTACGCTGCCCTTAAGATCTTTGTCCTGTGGTTTCTCGGGGTCTTTTCCCAGCCATCTGCCATGGTGGATGGATGAAAGGCCTGAGCTAATGGGGTTAGCTCATTAAATAACTGCAATAAAGCCTCTTGCTGTTTGCATCAAAAAAATAAAAATAGAGGAAGATTTGGGTTTTAGCCTGAACACATAGTTTACTCAATTCCAAGCTAATTGAATGAAATACAAAAAATAAGTATTCAAAAAAGTAAATATAAATGGCAATATAGGTGAATGGTTATCTTTAGCTATCATCTGTTCTAAAGAGAAAAGCAATGAAAAAGTACAGAAGAGCAATAGATATTCATACAAAACATTGGACAGAGAATGTTATTAACAAATAAAGTACTCATGTATCATGGTAATTAACACCAACCTATGTAAATAAAAAAGAAAACAATTTGGACATATAATTAAAAAAACAAAAATAAGCTGTGTGTTCAGATACAATATACTGTGTATTAGCACCCAAATTTAATGGTGGTTATAGCACAGTTTCTACATACTACTGTCCATGGCTTCAGTTGTCTGATATGGAAGGCATGTGGGGAAGGGTCAAGCAGGAGTCTTGTGCTCACTTATTTCCTAAAGAGGAGTCTTTCTAAAGAGATAATAATCCAAAATTTGTATATCTACTAATTATGAAATAATTTCATAATTTATATCAAAGTTGAGTAGATTGAAATTTGTGCAGTAATCTGAATGAAGACTAAATCATTTATAGTTTTATTGTACCATAGGAACATTATATGCCTGTTAAAAGCAACACTATTGAAAAATATAGTGGTAAAAAGTCTGATTATGATAATATTAAATGAGAAAAGAAGGGTACAAAACCCTGTGTACCATATGGTCAGCATTTTATATAATAAAAAAAAAAAACAAGAATTTTCCCATAGGAAAAAAATTTAAAAAGTAATTGTAAAAGCCCTTTTAAAATATCTCCTATGTATCTTAGTAAAACAGTGATAAAGTATTTTAAGGAAAACAAAATTGAAATTAATATAAGCTGTCTATAAGAGCAGAATTTTTGCTGTTATCTGTTACTACTTCAGGAAGTCTCCTTGGATCAGTTTTCTGGAAATTAGTTCCATATGCTATTTAGAACATTCATTGAAAGGAAAATTCTGTGGTCAAGCAAGTTTGGAAAAAATTAATTTAATAAATTAGTTCCCTTGGAGCAGAACTAATTAAAATCATTAGTATACCATTGCCATGGTGGCTCTTTATCAGAATGTAGCTCGCTGTTTTATCAGCCTTGAGGGAGTGTAGACTTTGCGGGTGAGTATATTTGGGCTAGAGAGAAGGCAGATGGGAGTGTTGTCTTGACTGAGGCCTGTAAAAGTGTTTTGCACACATCATGTTTCTTTACTTCGCAGTGTTATGGTGTCTCCCAAGAACAGAGGACATCTTGCTGCTTACACACAAAACTGTTACCACATCTAAGAAAATAAGCAATAATTCTCCAACATCAAACATGTAATCCAACCCAAAACTCACAAATTTTCTTTAAAAAAAAATAGCTTTTCGTGTGTGTGTGTGTGTGTGTATGTGTGTGTGTATGTGTGTGTGTATGTGTGTGTGTATGTGTGTGTGTATGTGTGTGTGTATGTGTGTGTGTATGTGTGTGTGTATGTGTGTGTGTATGTGTGTGTGTGTGTGTGTAGGTCAGAAGGCAGCTTGTAGCAGTGGACTCTGTCCTTCCACCATGGCTTCAATGATAGAATGCAGCTTACCAGGTTTGGGTGATAGGCACTTTATCTGATGAGCCATTTTACCAGCCCTGTAGCCAATTTTTTAAGTTTTAATGTTGTATTTGATTGTTTCCTTTTTGTGTAAAAATTGCACCCTATTTTTCCTGCATTTTTTCCAGAGACTGTATTACAGTTTCTATTTCTGTGTTAATAAACAGAAGCAACTTGGGGAGAAATGGGTTTCTTTCAACTTACAATCATAGTCCTTTGTCAAAGAGTATCAGGGCAGGAACCTGGAATTGTGATCTGAAGCAGAGGTCATTGAGGAGTGCTGCTTCCTGGCTTGTTTCTTGTGGCTTTCTTAACCTGCTTTCTTACAAAACCCAGGACAAGCAGCCCACAGTGAGCTGGGCCCTCCCACATCAATCAAGAAAATGCCCCCACAGGCTCTCCTGTAGGCCAGTTGGGTGGGAGTATTTCCTTAATTGAGGTTCCTTCTTCCTAAATAACTCTTAACATATATCAAATTGACATAAAAACCAGACAGCACAATTGGCAGTTTGTCAACTCCACACAAAAACACATCAGTCCCCAAGACTGGACATGTTAATATTAGTATCACATTATAAAACACTGTAACTTTTAAAAAGTCCATGGCCTTTAAAAAAAAAATCAAACAATTTAAAAGTTCAGCCTTTTTAAAATATCCAAAGTGTCTTTCACAGTTCCTCTAACATATCCAAAGTCTCTATAAAATTACAAATGCTCTCAACTGTGGGCTCCTGTAACATCAAAAGTAGGTTATAGAATTTCTTACTCCAAGGGAAGAACCAGGTCACAGTCTGGGACCCGCTCATAACCCTCTGGTCTCCAAAGGGCTCCACTTCCCCAGTGCTGCCATTTATAGCACACAACATGGGGTCTCACAGAATCAGACTGGCTTCACACCACAGGTGCTGCTGTCCTTGGTACCAGCATCTCCAAAGTTTTGGGTCTCCACTCCACACCAATAATGACTCCTGGGTTCTCTTCAAGAACTCTGTCCCTACCCTATGGTTCCATGCTAGGCCCTTTCAATACTACTGGGGTTTCTTTTTCTTTTTTTTTTTGTAATTTTTTTTATTAATTCAAATTAGGAACAAGCTTACTTCACATGTCAATCCCTCCTCCCTCTCCCTCCCCCCTCTCCCTCCCCTCCCCTCAACCCCCCCACTAACCTCCC